AATCCTGCCAGCACACCTTTGCTTTAGAGACAAGGAATGTAGTGCAGACAGGCAAAAGTTTAGCTAGGCAAGGTGGAGAAGTGCAAATGCCAATGCAAGAGACAGAGCTAGAATACAAGAGCAGGGGATAAGAGTACAGGAAGTGAGTCCAGTGAGTGTAGGGGCACTGGCAGACAGTTCACTTGAGATGCTCTTGCTTGCCCATAGCCGAGCAGCAACACAGAAACCAAGCTTGGCCCATGAAATCCCTCCCGTTCTGAGCCCCTGTTTCCCAGACAATGCAGCTCAAGGCCTTGGAAGCACAGATGGGATCCCTGACCTCCCGACTGACAGCTGCAATCTCTCCTTCAGACATTTGAATCTCGTCGATGAGATCTCTCAGAGTGCCTCCGTCCATGTACTCCATCACCAGCCAGAGTTCCTCATGCACAAGGTAGCTGAAAAAAGGAAACAAGGCCATGCAGGTGAACATGCACGGCTAGGTTGGTTTTTTGCTTGAGTCTTGTTTCTGGGTCCCTTGGAGACAAGGGCAGAAGTAAAGGCATAGACATTGCCTCTAGGCTGTGCAGTGTTTGCAGTCTGTGCTGTCTCAAGGAGAAAGGCAGTTTAGGAAGAGCCCAGATAAAAAACCTGTCACGCATGGCATTTCTGGAAATAAGCACCTAGTCTTCCTGGCATGCACAGCAATGGAAAAGAGGGGCAACAATGCAAGGGCAATCCTCTCTTGGATGGTTCATCAGCATTTAAGAAACTTGAAAAACTCAAGCCCAAAGAACTGTGGAGGCAATGAACTTAGAAGGTATTGAATTCTTAAGATAGGGCTGATGCAGGTTTTTGAACAATTTTCAGTCTGCATTTGCCAGGGTGGATTCATGCAGACAAAATGCAGTCTCTTCCCATCCATTGGAGATAAGCAGAGAAATAATCATCAACAACTCTATTTCCTGCCACTGACCAAAGTGGGTTTTTAAGCTCTCATGCTTGTAGTATGTAAACAAACATTCAAGGGATAGGACCGTGACCACTCACCTGGCTAAGTAATTCACGATCCTGGGACTCCTATTACTCTCCATGATCCTGATTTCATTCATGGTTAGTATCTTCCTATTCACTCCTTGCACATTTATTTTCTTTATGGCCACCTCAAATGACATTGAAAAGGAGTAACTTGAGACAATTGGTAGCATGAGACCACAACACACATGGAGCAAGTGATTTTGGAATGGCACAGCCAAGCTGAACCAAAGTGCCTTGTGATTAGACCTCATCACTGGAGTAATTAGGGAGTGACATTCCAACAGCCCATTTCTCTGCTCCCTTGGGGGTCAGTTACAGGACATGTGGCCACTGGCGATTTGCCTTGTCCACAAAGCCTGTTCCAAGTGCAATTTGCAGGCTGGCTCCAGTCTGTGCTTCTTGTGCCTTTTCAGCACAGCTCTACTCAAAGCTCCAGCCACAGCTGTCAGCAGTGGGGAAAGGCCTGGAGAGCAGCAGAGGCTGCAGGGGCTGTTGACATTTACCTCTCCTCCTGTTGCAATGTCAAGTGCTCTGGAAACCTCTCCAAAACCCCTAGAAACAAAACAGCAGCAAAGAAAGGAGAAGCCATTTAGATCTTGCAGTGGAAGCCAGTCCAGACAGGAGAGCTCTGCTGTAAATGCCTAAAAGCTGCAGGTTGCAGGAGGGATCTGCCAGAAGGCAGATGATGCATTTTCCCCTCAAGTGCCTGGGCACTGGGCCTGTTCCTGAAGCCTTGGGATTTACTGCCTCAGCTCCAAAAGGCAGCTTATTCCTTCATCTCGCCTATCAGCTTCTAAACTGTGCAATTCTAATCCTGAGCATGGAGTATTTCCTTTAGCAAACTCTTGGAGAGAAATGTTCCTGAGAACTGTTATCTGACAGCTCTCATTGGGGGTAGGTTGTGCTTTCAGGCAAGCAAGATTCTTCTCCTTTCATTAGTGTGGCCAGATGATTTGGAGACATCCAAAAATGCGAAGGAAATGAACCCTGAGCTGTCCCACACTTGAGAGACAAGCAGATTTCCCAGGTTCTGTTCCTTGCTGCAGGCAAGACCTTGGCAGCATGGAGATGTCTTTGACAATGCCTTCTGAGCACACTTGACAAATTCTGGCCAGTACTGAGAGATGGGGCAGACTAAGCCCGCTGTCTAAACATGTGGACAACTTGTCTGACTTCCCACTTGATGGATATTCCCCCAGGGAAACACCTGGCCCATGGCTGTGTAGAAGTGACTGTGGTTGGACTCACCCGCTGCCAAGACTTTCCAGTTCGATGTATTTTGTGATGGGATTTTCCTTGTTCACCATTCTCCCTGAGGGAAACAAAATGCAAGATGCTGACTCTCAGGCAGAGATCCCAACTTGCAGGAGATGCCAAAGGCAGCCC